AGTATTTTTTTCTCACTCAGCGGTGTATCCAAATGCATTTACCTATATCCTTAAATAGTCCTTGAGAATTTAATATCAAGTGGCTGCAGAGTTTTCTATAATTTAGAGGTATGGTAATGAAAAATTTCAGACATTTATAGAAAACGAGTTGATATGATGAACCCTCATCACCCAGCTTCCACAGTGAGCAGCTTGTGGCCAGCCTCTGCCTTACACGTAACTTGCCTCGAATGATTCTGAGGCACATTCCTAGACAGCACATCATTTCATCTGAAATTATTTCAGTATATAGCCTTAAGGGATAAGGACTCTTTGGTAATGTTTTAATGATGGCATATTATGCGTTTTTAATTTTATATTTTAACTGCTTTCCATTCTTATTCTCCATATCTCTGTTTCATTGTTCGAGTTGCTTTCTTGGGGTTTCAGTATTGTTCTATAGGTTGGACTTCTTAGGAAACTGCTTTCCATTCTTATTCTCCATATCTCTGTTTCATTGTTCGAGTTGCTTTCTTGGGGTTTCAGTATTGTTCTACAGGTTGGACTTCTTAGGAAGAGAACATTCCAAGGTATTGTTTTAAATTTGGTTTTAGGTCCTTAACCAGTACGGTATTATGTGAGCATTTTAGGAGAAATAAAATGAAGCCCGGAGAGCTTCCTAAAATTATTTTATGAAATTAGGTTTAGATCAGTGGAAAAGCTAAATGCAGGCTGACGGTGTCTTGTATTCACATGAATGATAAAGTGCTTCATGATCGTGTTTACACATGAGATTAACCTAGGTAAGTGGGTTGTAGGGCCTGCTTTAGGTAATTACAGCTTTAACGGTTTGAGCCCTTAGGGACTGAGCTCTACTAGCTGATTGCTGTACTTGTTTTCTGATACACTGGGGTTTTTCTCAGACCGTAAGAATCTACAGTCCCACCTGGGGCTAGAATTTAATTCAATCCTGTTGTGACTTCACTTACGCATTTACTATTAAAATGATTCTCTTATTACCATGTTTTGCCCTCAACTCTTGGCAAACCAAATCAAATAGCAGTGACAGATTTTGAAAAATTAACCATTGCCAAAGAACTGAACAGGCATCTTGCTGTAAGTTACACACACACAAATGGATTGATTTATTTATAGAATGCGAGAGCTGAAAAAAATGCTGTATTTTCAAAAATAGAACTAGGATATTTCAAAAGAGTTAAAGTATCTCTAAAGTGCATATAGATTTCATTTTTTATTTCTCACTCATTTATATATTTGCTTAATAGATGTTTACTTTAGTGTCCAGAGCATCCTAAACACTGGGCTAAAGTGGTGAGACAGATGTGCTGTTCTGCACTGGATTTTTGTCTGTTTTCCATGAACCAATAGTTCTGATTATAAGTCCCATACAGGAGGCTGAAATGGACTGTCCAGGGAGCGAGGCCACGCCCTGGAGAGGGCAGGCAGGAAGGGCCTGCCTGAGGAATGACGTGGAAGTTGAGGAGGGGGCTCTGGGTGCAGGAGCCCTGAGACGGGACCAGAGGAGCAGAACAGGGAGGCACAGGATAGTGGTGTGGGGTGGGGGGTGTAAGGCTGGGACAATTGTCAGGGTCACTTCCTGCCTTGTTCTGATTCTGTTACGAGGTTTGAGAAGCCACTCAAGGGTGTTCAGCAGAGGGGAGAGAGTTTCAGGTTTCCGTATGAGAAACAAATGAAAGTAAGGTGAGAGAAAAGTGGACTGAAACCACCCCAGAGCTAAGGTTCCAACCCGCGTGCATGGGGTAACATTTAACTTTTGTACCCTGTAGCTGCCATAGCATTTGCTTGCGGTCTTTCTAAATAAAACTATCTGAAAATGGAATACTGAAGTTATTTTGGCCCCTTAGTAATTAGATACTCTTGGATGTGATTAAAAAGAAACTCAAGTTCGTAGCGGTGTGGGGAAATTAATGTTTGTGTGTGTGATTGTTTATGAATATATCGTCCACTGTGGAGGGACACTGTGTGAGAATCAAATGTCAATGCTGCGTGTTTATTTCCACAGGATGCTGGCTCTTCCATCCATCCTGGCATCTGTGTATTTATAAAAGAATGTTTGAAAGTGAAAACAAAATCCTGACCAAAGAAGGTGTTACTCATTTTTTGGAGCTGTGTGAAACAAGGGTTCTCCCATTTTCACCAGAATTTTCTGAGGTAATGACAGCGATGCCTTCCACGCGTTGCCTCTGTCAAAGGACGAAAGGCGAAGGCATCCATTGTAGCAGATGAGATCTTCAGAATAAATACTAGGGCTTTAACATTATGAGTAACATTTTACAGATTTGAGTACATCAAATCCTATTTCTCTAAACTCAGCTATTGTACTTGAAAAGACTTCCTGTAATGTAGTTTGTCGACAGGCTACCGGCCTCATGACCAGTGTGAAAAAGCAGCTCTTTGGTGTCAGTGTTCTGAGCAGAAGTCAGCAGGGTGAAAACTGGGCCAGAAGCTTGTCGGTGGTCCTGTTCCACGGTCCTGAGTCTCTGAAGTCTTGCTGCCTGTCTAGTGATGCCGCTCCCCCAGTTCTGAGTCAGTGAATTGTTATCCACTGTATTGAGCATACGTGGTCTTTTGAGCTGTGGTATTAGCGTCTACACTTCCATTTGTCAGACAGCACCCAAAGCAAAGAGATTGTGACGATCACAGCTGTGCTTTCACGTTTTATATTATGGTGCCTGTGAGCCATACGATCACTGACTTGGGGATGGTAATTGAGCCCCCCTTTAGAGGGAGCCTCAGTAAACATCCCTCATTGTCCCACTGCATGGACAGTGCTGAACTAGGCATCGTTCCCTCCGTTCCCCACCTCTTGCTCTCCTGTGAGCTTGCTTTTGTCTAGTGATATTTTTGAGGATAGACTTCCACATTTTCCACCATGTGTCTCTCCTTTGGATTCCTTCCTTCCTTCTTAATGTGTATTGTCTTCTCAGTGTTCCGTAGGTTTTTATCAGGTGGGGAAATTCAGTATTTTGTCATCCTGGTGGAATTTAGGTATCCTCCAAGGCCGTCACAAGCTAACCTCCAGCAGAAGAGATGAGCTTTGCTTATAACGGCTCTTCTGTAGCCTGTGTAGGATGTGTGGGTGGGGCAGGCTGACTTTTCAAAATTACAGTTACAGCTCAACACCAAATACTGTTTTCCCTTTTTTTTCCTCTCTTTTTTTAGTTTATTGTTGGACCGTTGATGGACGCACTTTCAGAGAGCTCTCTGTATAGCAGGTAAACACGCATTGTTACCAAGCAGCTGTGCAGTGATACGTGCTTCATAGACAAGGGTAACGTGAGTGTGACAGGGACCAGGCTGTTTAATGCGTTTGGTGCATAAGTACATGTTGCCTCACAGACGTTCAGCTCTTTCCTGCCATGTCGTCCCTTCTGCGTTTGTTACTCCTTTTGCCTTTCTTTTAGTTATGTCAGGTGTTCCTCTTTTTCTTTTCTCTCCTACTTGGGCCCTTCCATTCCTGGGCTTCCAGAAAGGGCATCTCACAGAGCTTCCTTCCTTTCCCTCACTCCTGCCTGGTTTCC